CTAAATGTAACTGGACAGTCGATCAAAAATCGAATCGTGAATTCGGGCATTTAAAACTTTGATACATCATTTGTGATATTTAGGGTAAACAATGCATGAAACAATGGTGAATTTCGGTAATTTGTGAACATCGCAACCGCATTCATTTCACAAAACCTCACCATTCAAAGATACAAACGCTTTCTCTTCAACAGTCAGTAAAGGTCCTGAAGTAAATTCAATTTATTTTATTTCAAGATATTACTTAAAACACCCACTGATATTAGTCCATACCTATGTCCAACAATCTGTGGAAAATATGCATGACGAGATCCTTGAAGAACATAGCCGACTCCAAACAGCACAAACCCGATCCATTCATGGAATTCCAGGATACCAAAGCATTTTTCTCCATTTCGGTCCAAGTATAATACTAAACTACAAAACACTGAGCCAAGCATGTTCCTCTGATTAACCTTGTGTTTTAATGCTCATCGGACGAAAGCAGTCAATGCACCACCAATTGAAATCAGAGCGCTCTTATAATGCTTTATTAATGGTTTTCTACCTTTATTAACATTTCCATTTTTCCTTAAAGATTATCAAGATTTTGCAATTGTTTTATTTTAATACCACTGGCATAAATTATGATTGAAGCTGGTAATTCGTCGAAGGAATTGCCAGGATTCAACTGGGCGGAAATATACAGCAGTCAAAATGTAAATGCATTTTTAAAACATAATGGGTCCGTATATATCCAATTAAATACACAAATATAAAAAAAAACTTCCAACTTTGAAAATCTGGAAGATCCAGAAAAGCGCGTTAGTGGTTTTGGGGTGGGGCTGAAGGGGGAAGTGGACAGATTAGAGCCTCGGAAGATAAATAGGAGGCTGGAAAAACACAGCAGGCCAGGCAGCATCTGGAGGAAAGGAGTAGTCAACTTTTCGAGTATTACCCTTCTTCAGGCGAGGAGGTGTAAAGCTGACATGACTTTATTCTTTCCTGTTGCTATCAAGCCTCCTGTGCATGGCAAATTGGCAAGAATATCAGTTTCAAAGAAGAACCTGTAACTTTTCTTTGTGAAGTGAGACACGCTGTTTTGCAGATTTGTTAGATCAGTCTCGTTTACAAGTGTGAGCACAGACTGTCAATACTGAAATCGCAAAGTCCGGGCTCATGTGCATACTCAGTTGCGCAAGTGGGACCCAGTCACCGTGCCACTGACGCAATGCAATCCTGGAGAGCAGACCCTCGTGGATGCTAACATTGTACTTTCGGGTAGTTTTTAAACATTCAGAAAAGAGCCACGGTCAATGGAAGAGATAGGGCGAAATTCCCCGGACATGAACTATTCCGAAGGATAGACCTGCCGGAGTCCCGTTCTGTCTTTACCGGGAACCTCCCAATGCACTTTATGTTCAGATCATAAGTCAGATTTTAAAAGACCGTTTTCCGACCCGCCACACCCCAATCTATCAAGAAAGATCACAAACTGGATTCCATCACTTCTCAAGGGGCTGAGTGTGAAGTCTCCCATCTTTTCAATCGGGGAGGTCAGGGTCAGTAAATGTAACAATTATAAGTGACTGTGACAATTCTGATATCTCTTTCGGGGATATAAACAGCCGCCTCTGGATATCAGCTAAAACCTACTGATTTTTCATACAATCTATAACGTTAGTATGAAACTGATCGCCAAAATGTTTGAATAATGCAGGCACTAAAATTTTAAAACAGTGAATGGCATAATTCAGAAAAGTTGCCAGTGAAGCGCAGTTCAGAGAGCAATGTAATAGCTGGTGTAAATTGCTGGAAATCATCTCACTGCACCGGGTTCAGTTCTTCGGCCAGGACCATTCAATGTCAATGAATCTTGAAATAAAACATTAACTGTCTCAATGAATTCGGGGTTAACTGCAGACGGGACTCTCGTCTCGCGTGCTAAACACCTAACGTCCCTGCGCCGCTTTCCCGAGATGAATCTACATAAAACCCTCCAATACTATACTAGACACACTGCCGGTTATCGTTAAACTCATTCCAGATGCAAACACTGATGGCGCCGTGTCCACAAAATACATTTCATTTTAATAAACCTTGCGCTGGGAGTTAGTGAAACGTGCAGCTTCGTTTCATTCACGCCGTTTTGGAGGATTGCTCTTGCAAACTCAACTTGGTTTTTGTAGCTCTCCGCAGAATAACAGATCCTCAGCGGCTACGTTATTTCCAGGAGAGCGGGACAAGCTGAACAAATTTCCTCTCTAATTCTACTTAATGAGCCCGTAAAATAAACCGGAGTTTGTTTTTAACCCACTGGGGTTTTTGTTGTTGTTGCTTTGATGAATCCGGTTTTACTTGGAGTTAACTCGTCGACCGCAAACATTGCGAAGAAACAGCGCAGCCCGCGGTTCGCCCAAGGCGAAAGTTTCCTCCCCTCCGCACAGGTCTGGAGGGAGGTGGGAAATTGTTTGAAATCGTGGTTTATCCATTTACAGAATCACAATGACTTGCTAAAGAGATAATGAAGACCTCCTTATTTATTCTGCCGCTCAAGCCGGTATGATTTAACACTTCGACCAAAATAACGAACATTAAAACCGTTAAAAAGAAATATGCAACGATTTGTTTTAATTTTAGAAAAAAAAATCCGCATAGCACAAGTTGCCTGAATTCAGTCGGGGTCTCGCAGCCTAGTCACCCCGGTTTGTTTTCACAAACACGGATCCTCTCCCCCAGGGCAAATATTGAAAGTTAAATGTTGCTATTTCTAAAATCAAGTCTTTCGTGTTAATGTCCATCAGTTTATACCCTTCCGAGCCACGCGTTTTATTTCAATTCCCCAAATTCGTGTCACTCGAAATTCAAATGATAAACATCAGCTGAAAGTGATGAACTATGTGATCTCGAACACGTTATAAATGTGTAAGAAATCTGCTCTCACTCCTTGGGCACTCGGCTTTCACGCGAGAATTCCCGGCAGTGGGCGAAAGGGGGGTTACCAGATGGACACCGCTAAGGCCGGCTCGTTCAACCGGGAGCACAACGGGCGATGCTGTCAAATTTTTCCGACAATTGATAAGAGTCTGACATTCACTCCCACCCCCACAAAAAGTAACAGATAATGTTCTCAATATAGTGCGCGGTGATGGTTGATATCTCAAATGGTATTATAGTTTATTGGCCGTGACCATGGGGATGATTGAACTCATTCCAATAGCATTTTATTTTACCTTGCAGACCACCAGAAATATGGCAATCTTATTTTCCTGCTTCTTGAGGATGACCCTCATAAATCATTCCTGGTATCCCACAGCCGCCGCTGCATCTTTCTCCGTTTTTGGTTCACAGACTGAGCGAGCCGGAAAGTGCTGAATTTGTTCACACCCGCTGATCACATCAGTCCATTCCTAAGTGTGTGTTTAGTGAAAGCTGCAGTCTCAAGGTATCTTTTAGTCAGTGAGTAGTACGATGGTGTACAGTAAAGGAAAGGGGAAAGATGACAAATTTCTTTCCCTTTTTAAGAGTTGGTGGACCTGGTGTCAGTTTCCAATTTTTTTGATTTTATTTCTAGCATTTTCATCTTGAGTTCTGTTCTATTTCTGTTTGCAGTTAGTTCACTGTGTCACTGACAGACGGTAACATTAACCGCTGTGTTCACTCACTACACTGGCGCCTTGTGAGAATTTCAAACATTTATTCGATTCTTTTTGTTAACGAAGTGGACTCAGACAAATGTTACCTCGTGTGAAAAGGTCAATCTCACGTTAACACTTGCACTCAACACTTGCAGGTATTCAAGAACATACTGGCATTCCTATATTCTCGATAATAACGAATTGATTGTCAACTCAAAGGTGTTTTGTTTGGGGAATTGTAAAGATTTTACCAGACCCGAAAGTACATAAAGATGTAACCTTGGAGTCGTTTAACGACCACATCAAAAACAGATTTACTTAAATTTATAAGACAGCATTGATTCAATAGCTAGTTTTTCATGTTTATTTGTTGTCCAGTTGTATTAAAAAAAACAAGGCTGACCGAAGTTTATTCAGTGAAAAAATTAGATACTAGCTGGTTCTATGACTTAGTCAGAAAGGCATCCAGCGCTTATCGAAATATTCCGTTTCACAAGGATCTGGTAAATATCCTCTTTAACCAAAGAACTGGAATCAATTTCCCATTCAAAAAAAATCATCTTTTCTGACAAGATTGTAATTGTGTTAATGGATACGCAGGTAGGCTGCTAATCTTGCGCAGTTTCAAACAATTGCCAACGCTTTGAGTTTTATTTACAGTTCAGTTTCATAAGAGCGCAAAGTGTATCAACCTAAATAGAAGCCAATGGGCCAACATACCTGAGCACTCCCGGTGTAAGCAACGTGTGTCCACTTTAAATAAAATAAAACGAAATTTTACCATTCTTATTTAAGTGAAGTTGTATTCAATTAAAATTAGTTTTCCGAAAGGCATGATTTTAGGTATTTGGCGTGCGGTCCTTTCAGGAGGAGGAATGATGTGGGGAAATGTTCAAAACAAAAACTCTGAAATATAAACAAACGATGAATTTACAATTAAGCTCCCGATAGGAAACTCTCTACGTAATCTCTGCGATCACATTGTTGGAAAAATATCAAATGCAATCGATGTTCTCAATGTGATACCTGGATGATAAGAAATGTTTCGAAAACATTAATGGATAGATTTTCAGTACTGCATTTGTCTCGGGAAAATGAAACGAAAATGCACCAGGTCAGTCGATTTAGAACGGAAATGTTCGTGCTGGAAATGAAATAAGCGCGCTATATTTAGGAGCGAGAGAACAGGATCCTGTAAAACTAGCAGAGACAGCCTCCCGCTGCACCTTCCCGGAACCTGAGTAATGCAGTCAGTCTATGTTCAGAGACTAGGCAGAGCAGCTGGGAAACATGGGCAATGCTGTATATTCAGGTTCCGGGGTTAGGGCTGCCATCAGGGTAAATAGGAGAGAGGCGAGCGTGGTCCGTGCGGTTTCAGATCAACTGTTCCTGACAGCGATGTGAAATGGCAATGCAACTACAGACAGGAGCTGGATTACTGCTCGTTCTCATCACTTTACCACACTGACCGGCTCCTTGTAAACCCAAATCAGGTAATGACTTCTCTGCTTTGCAATCATGTTTGTTGGCGGTGACCTTATTCATCAAAACGTTCTAGGCACTTAAAAAGGAAACGTGTTCTGAACAGAATATGATTATATTAGCGACAAGAATGGCTCGGAGACTTTAGGATCTCCCTGAGGAACCTGTGAGATTTCACGGCCGAGTCTGTAGCCGGAGGTGGTAGTTCCAGAGCGGAATCAGGGAGAAGCTGGTTATTACAGTTGGCGGGGCCGGCCAGCTAAACAGCGGCTCCGCGCTTTCAAAGTTTATCAACAGATCAGCCCGACCCGTCAGAATGCAGCTAACGTGCTGCGGGCTCAGGAAGGGCACTGACTTTCCACAGTCCCTGAGTAATGAGAGACCCAAACCGAAACCCCCGCACCCCCGTCCCTTTCTCATCTGAGACACCAGATTGCAAAGACAAAGCGTGCGTGAGCTGATTGATGTAGCTAAGCGAGTCGGGGATAGAGTGCAGCCCCGAGACACAGGTAAGAGACAGACAGTGCGGTGATCAGAAGACAGGCACGTGTTCTGTCTTTTCTAACGGTGTCTAGGAACTATTCCCTAAGATATTCCCAGAGAAAAAGCGGGGGGGGGGCGCACGGGCTGGCTCTGCATGAATGGGAATTCAGTGGAAATATTGATGGATGATGTAGACATTCCCAAGCCCATAACTGTCGCTGCCTTTGTGAATTTGTGCGTGATATTACTCAACCTTGTTCAGATACTCGGGAATATCGACCAATCTATTGTGAATAGGAGCTCTGTCTGGGTGAGCACCGGCGCTGCCTTCTGACACACACTCACAGAAACATTCATCATTTAAAACGTTGCTGTTAGTGTGTCCGCAAGGCAGCAGAGGTCCTGAAACAGCGGCTTGCGCAGATGTCCTGGGAGTTTACTGTTCGCTGTAAACCCTTAAACTTGGTTTTGCAAGACAGATTTTGACTGTTTTGTAGAAATACTCCAGTAGAGCGGCTAGTTCAGGTCAGGATACAGCCCGTTAGCAAACGCGCGCCGGGTCTCTAATGCTGAGGAGTGGCCCATTAAAAATGACCCTGTTTCCTGTCCCACTGGTGTGCGCTCCCAGATCACATGCTGTAGGAATTTATTTGTGTTCAGGACGATCCTGAGGAGAAAGTTCTGATAAATTGGATTTATTTTGCAAACAGGGCTGAATTTTGTTTTTTTAAATAAATATATACCTTCTCAGCGGTGGCAATGGGAATCGAATAGTGAATGTAATGGGAGAAACCGTTTCATCTGCAGATTTCTCTCCTCAAACTTGCGAGTGGTGCGTACTTGAGAATTGTAAACAACACTAAAAAAAAGCGCTCATTTAACCGGGGAAAGTGAATAACACAACATTCACTGTGAATGGTTTGCATTCTGTCTATTTTGGCAGAGGGCCAGGACCTTCCTTTGTGGACGGCAGGGGTTTATTTTCTCTTCATTTACATGGCAATTAGGGTCGTTTGAGTTTTGGTTTTGAAGGAACCAACGATTTTTTTTTACTATATATATATCCCTTGGCTCCAGTACCCCAGGTTGAATCTTCAAATCCCGATTCGTGAGACAGACACTGGAACGCGCCGGAAGATGAATACAATCGTCTTCAATAAATTTACCAACCAAGTACTTTTCGAAGAAAAGGCAAATGAGGTGGAGAGGAAAAGCAGGACCTATATGGAAGTGATGGAAGAACAAGAGCAGGAGCTGATAATTCCGGACAGTCCGTCCAGCCGGAGTCAGAGGGGTCTGCGGCACAGGAGGTCTGGGTATGACTCCTTTTACTGTGGGTAACAAGCATGTGGTTAACTGGGCTCGGAAATGTAGCTGTAGGATAGGCGGTGAAGCAGAATTATATAGCACACACACACTTCCCGACGATACACAGCCATCGGTTATGTTGGGTTTGTGTTCTGTTCGTTAACAATCTGACTTTGCGTTAAGAAATCCTGAAAATAGATTTCATAAAGCGGGGCATCAAGCATTCACTCTACAGAATGCAGCGCAATCCATGTCCTTCAGACTATAAATAACAACACTTTGAAAAATTTCCTCTCTTCGCCTTATTTGATGGTTTTGTTGAAGTGACCTTTGATGGAAATGTGATGACCAGTTTCTGATGGTATCAGCACAGTCATTTGTAAATATGTGACGCCCACTTCCATTTTATCATTCCAAACCAGGCACCGTTCTTTGAATCCCATTCAAAACACGTTCAGGCTCCCCTTTCAAATCGGCAATAGTGAGACCCCTGATTGTGAACACATTATTGACTATACCAAAGCAGCTGGAGATCTGAAACAGAGAATGCTGGAGAAACTGGGCAGGTCCGGCAGCATCTGTGGAGAGAGAAACAGAGTTAATTGTTTGAGTCTGATTATGACTCTTTTTCAGACCTGACATTATTGATCAAATTTTGTTATGTCTCGCCTCATCAAACACTCAAAAGTGTCTAAATAACAATGGCATTCGACCCCAAGATTTCATAACTTGCAATCACCTTTTCACATCAGGGTTGGTCACGAATGTAAACATGTTTCTCTAGATGGTCAAATGTTGCAATAATTCAGACATAATCGTAGATCCTCTGTGTATACACGCGCATTCCAGTAGAACTAGCTTTATTGTCACAGAGTGGACATTTTGTAACTGATCTAAGCGTGTTTTCATATATTTCAATTTCAGCTACATATACAGTTTTAAAAAAACACACGTTTCAGTGACAATCAAGGATTTTAGAAAAATACACTCTAAGATGATTGCGTATTTTTATAGTACGATCTTCACTGAGGATGAATTCCAGCTCATACACAAGAACTAGTTATAACCTTGACTGTTAGCAAAGATCGAGATGACAAGTTGCTTTGGGGTCATACGCGAAAGTTTGGCAATACCGCGATGGTCTGGCAGTGTTCAAGGGGACGTGAGTCAGAAATATCATCCCAGTGAGAATTTAAGTGTCTCTGCTCACTGGAGAAAGGGCCTTCAAATTCACAGCGACATCTACAGCACTCAGTTGGAATGCACATATTCAGGCACCATCCACATCATGTGCCACCGGCTAGAGGCATGAGTTACAAGCCGGCCTGCTGATCACCACAGTGTTCACATGGATACACAGACAGGACATTCCATTGAGCCACACAAGCTCAGACTCACAACACACTTAACTCTCAGTCTTCATCACCTAGTTGATAGATATGGCTATCTGGTTATTCCCACACTACTTTATTTGGGAGCTTACTGTAAGTAAATTGGCTGCTACGTTTCCTACATTATCACAGAGTTTATACTTCAAAACTGCTGCATTGACTGGGACATACTTCGAAACGCCATGAGGTGGTGACGGGGCTAAATAAATGAAGTATTTTTCCTCTATGAATGGGCAGAAGCCAAATTTGGTTCTGAGACGGACAAGGACTGAAACAAAGACCTAAGGAGAGGGAAGCCTTCATTTATATAGAACCTCATCGTGTCTCCCGAGAAACTTCTCAAACACTGCAGCAAAAATACATTTGAAGCAGGTTATCTATATAAAGCACGACAAATAAGATAAACCCGGAATAACGATATGCACAGGTACAGAACGGTCCGGGCTTGCCGAGAACGTCACCTCTCACATATGCAAATATTTCCACGGGTGTCTCACATTCATTACTAAAGCGAATTTTATTTCTACTCAAAAATTAAATCACCAGAAACATGAACGTGTTTATTTAAAACTGGAATCAGAAACAGGGTTCGAATGAGTTTTTTTTAAATGAATGTTACGGTTGCTATAATTAGGGTGTCATGAGTCTTGCTTTCTGCACATGTCTGTTATCATCCAAAACACGATACACTCTCAGAGTGTCAATTGCCCACACTTTTACACCACAGGGACCTTTCACTGTACAAGAAGAAATATCCCTTTGAACGCGATTACATTTTCTGAGAAGTCGGCTATCTATGAAAAGCTTTGTGTTTTTCTTTGCTTTGTGCTTGGTTATTGACCACCTGAATGTTTCCAGCTCTCGGCAGGGCGCAGGGAAAGTGAGACACAAACGGCAGGCTCTTCAGGATATGGCTCGTCCTTTGAAACAATGGCTTTACAAGCACCGAGACAACCCGTACCCAACTAAAACCGAGAAAATCCTGTTGGCCCTCGGTTCCCAGATGACTCTGGTACAAGTAAGGCCATTTTCCTACCTGATAAAATCGGTATTATTTTTCTACATCCATCTCTACTCAGTACTTGTGCGAGCTAACATTATTCATAAGCGCCTCAACCAAAAAAAACATACGCAAATTGACCGTCCCAACCATAAACTCCAGGAAAAATCTGACTTCAACATTCCGTTTATTAGACGGCGATTGATTTTTTTTTTACTGAATGCTAACAAAGTAGTGGCAGATGTAGTTTAATAGTAAATTTTAAAGTCGGGAAATGTGCTTGCAAATGGAGAGGCCTAGCTAAGGACAATTCTGACACTTGGTGTCCGGGATCAAATGTGGACTGAACTGAACTGACTGGTCTCAGTCGAGGGGGTCTCCTCTCCCCAGAGAGGTGAGGGGGCTGGGGGTGGGGGCGTAGATCACAACAGTCGGTCCATACAGCAACCTCACGGACTGTTGCTTTTCCTTGCATTTAAAGTGCAGGTTTTAAACAATTTGAATTAAGGCGAGGCTGTTATAAGCGTATACATTGGTGAAATCACAATTCTAATTAAAATCTGAAAGTTTCGCGTGTTGGACTCGTGCAAGATCCCTCCGGTCGCACGTAAGGTGGAAATCGGTTTAATGGCGTTCATTCCTCGCTCTCATGAGTTTGGAAACCAAATACATTTCAGCTTACACATCAGTGACAGTGGGCAATTTGTGTGTGTGTGTGTGTGTGTGTGTTTTAAGGCATTGCTAAAAGGCTGAAAGAAGAATTAGAATTCAGAAATGCGATACTGACCCAGATGCGTAATCATTCAACAGATTTCATCGAGATATCTTTTGCGCTATACGGTTTAATTTGGATCAACTTTATTCTAAAATTGTATGGTGACGTATCAAAACTATCATTGTATATATAATTCTCTGAAACGTCTGTATAATTGTGACAATGCTCAGTTTGAGACAGTTTTGCGCCGCCCACATACACATTGTCGCATTCTACAATAACAATGTTTGCACTTTGTTACCATTACTTACAACACAGGACCCACACTATTCCTACAAAATGTTATTCTTCCAAAAATAGGAGCAAGAGGCCCAACGAGGGAAATGAAAGAATGAACTTGTGCCCATTCACTTTCATTAAATGAAACAGCTTGTAGTGATTTGTTCAATAGTTTCACTATTATTTTCCCCATTGCTTTTATCTTCTTCCTATTTCTCGTTGTGTTAATGCATTATTTTCACTGCTATGTTAACGAGGTAATAAACCACTCTGCGTTTGACGTACTAAGTTGAATATTTCTGGACCAATTGACCCTTCTTGGTTTTGAATAGTTTCTTTTCATATAGCCTTCTGACAGACCAGTTCAGAATTGTCAAACATGCTGTAGGCCATGATCGGTAAGAATGTACAGGTTCGGATAAATGTGTAATGTACCGTGGTAACTTTCTCTCTTTACAATTCAGCTGGTGACTGAGATTGAGAAAATAATGTGTGCATGGCAGAAAAAGAAAACACTGGGACAATCATTGTTGGGTTGTAGAGAAATATATTACGATATGTCACATTACCTTGCCATTATTTGTAAAGGATTTACTGACATCCAGAACACCGTGAGTGCATGTCAGTTTGTGATGTTTATTGTACTTTAATGACTTTAATGTTTAATGACTTAAACACAGCTGGATAGTTCGAGGATATTATGTGAATTACATTCTACTTTTACTTTTTATACATAATTGAACACATTGTTCTATATTTAATCAGTTCGTTTTTCAGACTCAGTCTTGAGGAATGACAGTTGCAGAGTCAACTGTGGGCTGTTACTTACCGTCACACTAGTATTAGAATGCATCTGTATCTCAGTAATGCCGCCAGGTTCCTTACACACATTTAGATGATAGGGCTATTCATTGGGTCAATGTCACTTCGTTTTTTATCCCCCTAGTTCGTTAGTGTTGCTCACTTGTATCCACTGGTCATTTCAGTGAGTTCAAGGAGATGTGGCTCCTTGGGAATAATATCCTGCTTTTCAAGGTTAGTGCAGCATCTTTCTGTGAGCTGACTCGTTGGATCAAACGCTGTCAAATGCAACGTATTTCCAAAGAAATTCCGCCTGTTGACATTAAGTAAATTAATTAGGCACAAGTGTTAGGATGACGCATAGAACACTTCCCAATCGCTTGGATTCTGCTGAAGTGCCCTAGTGAATGTTTCTTTGTCCTCAGTGAGAAAATCCCCATAGTCTGTATCTTTGCCCGTTATTGGACAACGGAGGGACAGCCGGCAGCTTCCCAAAGGAGCAACTCGTCCTTGTCGTTGCCTGCACATGCCGCTGAGAAATAAAGACCAAATTTTATTTGAAAGCAGATAAATTATCCAAAATGCTGCTGGAAACCAGAACTGACGGACATAGAAATTTTGAAGGATGTGAAGACCAGTCATGTTGGCTATCCCCGTTTATTGATGATAACAAGGTGTACATCTGGATGAACACAGCAGGCCAAGCAGCATCAGAGGAGCAGGAAAGCT